GACCAGGGAAGATTTCTTCTATGAAGGCAAGGATGGTTTAACCGTAGAGTGGTTACTAATGAAATATACCACAAGTCAAAAGAATAACCTTAAAGTAACCATCCATTCCTGATAAAACTTTTTTTTTGTTTTTAATAGATCCATTGTTTTATTTATTTATTTACCCTTGGCTGCGCTGGGTCTTCGCTGCTGTGCGCGGGCCCTCTCCAGTCGCGGTGAGCGGGGGCCACTCTTGTTGCGGAGCACGGGCTCCAGGCGCTCAGGCCTCAGTAGCTGTGGCACGCGGGCTCAGTAGTTGTGGCTCGTGGGCTCTAGAGTGCAGGCTCAGAAGCCGTGGTGCACGTGCCTGGTTGCTCTGTGGCATGCAGGATCCTCCCGGACCAGGGCTCGAACCCAGGACCCCCGCATGGGCAGGCGGACTCCCAACCACCGTGCCACCAGGGAAGCCCTTTTCCTGATAAAACTTTTGTTCAAAGTGTTAAGGAAGGCTATTTTTTAAAAATTGTGGTAAGATAGACATAACAAAATTTACCATCTTAACTATTTTTAAGTGTACATTGCAGTGGTATTAAATATATTCATGCATGTTGTTGTGCAACCATCACCACCATCTATCCCCATAACTCTTTTCATCTTTGTAAAACTGAAACTGTACACCCATTGAATAGTAACTCTTTCTCCCATCCCCCCACCCCCTGACAACTACCATTACAATTTGTCTTTATGATTTTGGCTACTCTAAGTACCTCATTTAAGTGGAATCATACAGTATTTGTCTTTCAGTGACCGGCTTATTTCACTTAGCATATGTCCACAATGTTCATCCTTATTGTAGCATACCCTTCCTTTTTCAGGCTGGATAATATTCAAGACTGTTTTGTTGAACATGTTAAAGGATATCTGTCTCAACGCAATGGCTAATATTACATATGATAGTAAAATATTACAGATATATCCATTATAGTCAACTAGAAGATAAGGATGCTCGCTACTTAATATTGTTCTGGAAATCCCAGCCAGAATAGTTCTACAAGAAAAGGAAATAAGTAATATAAATATTGAAAAAAGAAGATGAAGTTGTTTTTATTTGCAAATGGCATGATTTTTTTATTCAGACTAAAAACTACTTTGAAATGTGTATAGTTGACCCTTGAACAACATGGGTTTTAACTGTGTGGGTCACTTATACACAGTTTTGGTGTTTTTTTTCCATAGTAAATACTATATTACTGCACTATCTGTGGATGGTTGAATCTACAGATGTGGAACCGAGAATATGGCGGGCCACCTTGAGCATTCCAAGATTTTGGTATCTGCGGCAGGTCTTGGAACCAGTCCCCTGTGGATACCGAGGAATGACTGTATATTTAAAAATTAGCTGTTTTTACAATTCCATCTTTCCATGACCTGAATCGCACCTTTTTGCCTATTCAAGGACTTTGCTTCTACACGTTTCCTTTTCATCAGTTTTCTTCTTTCTCTTCTGTATTATTTCCAGTTGCATATATTACAGTGTCTCCCATCTTTAAAATATCCTCCCTCTGACCTCATCATCTGACCTCATTTTTCCAGCTACAATCCCATTTCTTTGCTTCCTTTACAGCAAAACTCTTAAAGAGAGTTGCCTATAGTCACTACCTCAGCCCCTTATCTGCTATTTTCTCCTCTTTTTATAACGTTTCTTCTTTGTGTTATTCTCCTCTTGATGTTTCACGTGTTGTCAGGACGACTTGGACTTGTCTGGGTCCCAGGCCCATTGTAGGCATGTGTGCTGGACAGAGCTGTGCCCCGTCCTTCCCTCTTCATTCCAGTGTGTCTGTCAGCTTCACCCCTGCACTGACTCCTCCCTGACCCCCATCAAGGTCATATGTGACCATTGGTGCCACATCCACTGGTCAGTTCTCTGTCCTCATCTTATTCAACATCTCAGGGCATTTGACACAGTGGCCTACACTGTCCTCTCCAAAACACTTTGCTCACCTGCCTATTGGGACACTGGAGTCTCCCTGTTTTCCTGTGTCATTCATCACTCCTCAGCCTGCTGTGGGTGGTACTCGGCTCTCCCCTGGGGTCCCTTTTCCTCTGTAGCCGTGTCTTCTCCTTGGATGACCTCACCTGGTCATCCAAGGCTCTAGGATCCTCACAGATACCAAAATCCGCGGATGCTCAAGTCCCTTATATAAAATCGCACGATATTTGCATATAACCTATACACATCCTCCTGTACACTTCAGATCTTTTCTAGATTGCTTACAATACCTAATACAGTGTACATATAACGTAAATAGTTATACCTACAATGTAAACGCTATGTAAATAGTTGCCTGCGCTTGGCAAATTCAAGCTTTGCATTTTAGAACTTTCTTGATTTTTTTTTCCCCCCAAATATACATATATATTTTTTGTGGTACGCGGGCCTCTCACTGTTGTGGCCTCTCCCGTTGCGGAGCACAGGCTCCGGACACGCAGGCCCAGCGGCCATGGCTCACGGGCCCAGCCGCTTCACGGCATGTGGGATCTTCCCGGGCCGGGGCACGAACCCGTGTCCCCTGCATCGGCAGGCGGACTCTCAACCACTGCGCCACTAGGGAAGCCCTCCCCCGAATATTTTTGATCTGCGCTTGGTTGAATCCGCAGATGTGGGACCTGTGGATATGGAGGTCTGACTCTATGCTTAGAATAAAATTCCGTTATTTTTACACGTCTACAGGGCCTTGAAGATCTGGTCCACGACTGCCCTTCTGACCTCATCGTGGCTCCCCTCCCTGACTGTCTGGCTGCGTCCACTATCACCTTCCCCATTCAGCCTCCCACCGTGTGCACGTGACTTGTTTCATGTCATTATCTGTGCTCAAATGCCATTTCTTCAAAGATGCCTTCCAGAGCACTCACTAAAACGTGTACCACTCCCCGCAGTGTGCCTTCGCTCTTACCCTGCTCTGGCTTCTTTTTATTGCTTACAAGTGCCTGAAATTATTTTTCTCTATATATTCTTGCTTATATTGTCTGTCTCTCCCACTAGAATAGAAGCTCTGCAAAGGCAGCCACGTCATCTGCCTTGTTCTTTCTTGTCCCTTGGGCTGGCACATAGTAGGTGCTCAGTTAATATCTGTTCAATGAATTGCAGCACTTACCACTTGTAAAAAAAACATCTTGGGAAAAACAGTGTATTTATAACAGTGAGATAGATGTGTATCTCCTAAACATCAGTAAGTAAAAGAAAGATAAGCAACAAAAATGAGCATCATTTTTTCCTATCAAATTGGGGAAACTAATGGTAGTGATAATGTTGGTGAGAGTACCAGAAAACGGGTGCTCTCATTTGCCGTTGGTGGAATATAAAATTGTCTAAGCTTTCATAAGTGATGAGTCATGGGTTATTTTTATCTCAGTTTTTGTGGTTTGCTCTGTTTCCCATTTTTCCCAATAGTTACTTTTCCCCCCAGTAGTTACTTTTGAAATCAGAAAAATCTGATAATCTTAATCCCCCACCACCCCAACTTTTTTTTTTTTTTTAACCTGGCTGGATCCTGGTACCAGCAAACTTGTAAGGCTAATCCCAGTGGGTAGGATGGTCTTGTTTTGTTGTTGAACCTCTTAAGAGTGTTTAATCTGAATCCTGTATCGGGTTTCTTGGGAATAGTGCAAAATCGGTCACTGGAAACTTTATGGGCAGAGTCACCCTTGATCTGAGGTCCTGGCTGGTTTGGGGAGCCCAATGGAAACGTGAGACTGGGAAAAACATGCAGCACTAAGCGGGGCCCACCCAGTGAGAGATGGGGTCCCACAACCCTTCCTGCCAAGACCCAGGTCTCCATAGGCTGGGTAGGCCTCACATTTCTTGGCAGATACCCTGCCCAACTCCCTGGCTGCTTGGGACTGAGTTAAAACAATGATCACAGCCACCCATGCCTTTTCCTCTGCTTTATGCAGCTGGATTTTTGATGCCTGTTTCCCTCGACACCTCCATACCCTATTGTGCCAGTGCCCACAGGGCAAGCCCCTCCTGTCTGGGCCCCAGGCCCCCAGAAGGGAGGCTCACAGATGAATCACCAGTGGGCCATCCTGCAATCTCCCCTTGTTTCTTTCTTTTCTGGAGGTGCATTGGTAGTTCAACATTTCATTTCTTTACGTCACTTTCTGGCCTTGGCAGTTCAGTTCCAGAGCTCTCAGCGGCCCACCTGACTAGCACCACCCAGACGGCCAGGAGCTTACAAAGGAGCCAGCACACACTCGGCTGCTAGCCCTGGGCTGTCGCCTTCACACTTTCTCAGCCTCGGCTCTCAGACCCTGGCCCTCTGACAGCTGGCGCAGCTGACTGCAGGGACCTGCCAAGGACTGGGGATTGTTTTAAGTGGCACAGGGAAATGAGGGTTGGGGCTGGCTGAGGATCGTGCTTCCCAAGTGTTTGCAGGCTGAGTGGCACACATTTAGAGAGACTACCTATATTTCGGTGCATGGACCTGGTGAAGTGGGGAGAGGGGCCGATTTTAACTCTTGGTCACCTGTTGAATGCCCTTGTCCCTTCTCCCTTGGGGCCAAGGGGACACGGCCAAACACCTGCCTGCTGATAGGGTGGAGAGGCACCAATAAAAAGCCTCCCTTCCTGCCTTAACCACCTGGTGGAGGTCTGACTGTATCTGAAAGATGCCTGATCCATCTTCATGTTCGTGCTTCTTAGAGACAGTGCCCACGGGGGAGGTAGGAGAGAAAAGCTCACCCAGGGCGAGTGTGGTTCTCCGTCGGCCTCTGCTGTGACTTGAGCCTGCGTGTGGCTCTGACTTGGGGTCCGCTCCACTGTCTCAGGCCGCAGGGACAAGTGGGATTGTAGCTTCTCTTGCCCCTTTTGCCCAGCCAGCCCTGCTTTCAATCAGTAATTCATTTAATCTGTACTTTCGTGTTTTCCAGCCTGTCTACCCCTGAGGCCCAAGAGGCTCCGAAGAACTCTGCAATTAATCTGGTTTGGATTTAACCACCTTCTTTTACTTTTCTTCTTATAGCTTAAACTTTGGAACAAATATCGAATTTCCAACATTCCATCACTAATATTCTTAGACGCCACCACCGGGAAGGTCGTGTGCAGGAATGGGCTGCTGGTGATCCGCGATGACCCAGAGGGTAAGACCTTGCTTTGTCCACCCATACTCCCTGCTCTACCCCCCTGCCCTGCCCTCCTCCCTGTTGGTAGAGAGTGTATAAAGGAAATATATGAGTGTGGGTTTATTTGGCTAGAGAATATTGTCTTGATGAAATTACAGTATTCTCCAGGTCATGGTTAAGATTTTTACGGAGATCAGAATGTCCCTCATGGGGGCTTTAATTCATGGGCCAGTGGAGATGGAATCTGAAAAAGGAAGTTTAGCTTTGAGGGCTGAGGAGGCCATTGAGAAATGGCTTGAGCCCAGATTCCGACTCCTAGTGCTGTTTCAACGGCAGCTCTCACCTTCACAATCAGAGGCAGGCTGTGTGGTTTCGGGGGTTTTTTCTCATTAAAATTTTACCATAGCAAAGTCACAATCTCTGCATTGCTCTGCTGGCCTGGCGGTGAGGGCCCCTCAGTTCTTGGGGCTGCTCAAGTCCTAAGCCTTGGTCTTGCTGACTGGTTGGGTGGCTGGCTGTGCCTGGCTGGCTCTCATCACCCTGCTCAGAGGCTGTCCAGGGCCTGTTTCTCTCCTTCTCTCAACCCCCGCCCCCCAACCCTGTGCACTGGAGTCATAAAAGTCATAAAAGTGTTACAAGATCTTCTGTCCCTCACTTACTGATCCAATTGGAGGATTCAACCCGGGTCACAAATTTTCCCAGTAAAAATTTCACCTGCTTCAAAGAATTGTCCTCAGTAAAAACCAGGGCAGGTAGAACCAAGTCTTTACCTTCTGAAATGTAAACACACACACACACACACACACACACACAGACACACACACACAGACAGACAGACAGACAGACACACACACACACACACACACACACACACACACACACACACACACACACACACCCCACTCTGAAGCTTGTTAAAAACCCAGCTTCCCCGCCTCCACCCCCAGATTTTGGATCCATTTGTTTCAGGGTGGGCTTGGCCACCTGCTTTTTCAGCCAGGCTGTGCTTCTTTCTACCTCCCATCCTCCACCGGCCCCAGGCGATTTTGAGGCAGTGGTCCCTGGACCACCCTGTGAGAAAACACTGTTCTGTTGAGTGGGGGAGCATATCATTTGCTCTTCCTGCCTGGGAATTACGTGTCACCAAAATGTCAACCATCTGGGTTGAGTGGTTTTAGGCTTTCCTTTCAGTAGACTGAAATTCTCATCTCACTTGGTTCCCTGGGCCCCAACCCAGACCAGCTGAATCAGAATCTCTGGGGGTGGGGAATTTTACAATTCCCCAGCTGATTCTAAAATGCAGAGTTGAGAGCCACTGAGAGTCCAGGGCTGGAATTGAAGAAACTCACGGTTAATACCCAAGGCAGTGATTTCCCAACTGTCCCATCATCACAATTACTCGGGGAGTCGTTTTGCTTTGTTTTGGACATGCATCTTCAGCCTTGCCCCTGAATCCTGAGACTGGGGGTGGGGGGGTGACCTGGGCTTCTGTACTTTTCAAAAGCCCCCCAGGAGATGGGTCCTGTGGTCATCCAGGTTCAGGAACCATTGCCTTGAAGGTAGGTAGGGCTCTGCCGTGAATGAGTCCTGCTTTTATTCCTGCTTTAGCTGCGGATTCTATGGATATGTTAAAAAATACTGTTTGGTGATAAAGTCATGCTCTGCAGCCCTGAGGCCTTTTGGGTCAGAGGCCACGAGGAAGAGTCTTAACATTCTCTAACATTCTCGCTATCTGTTGCCTGTTTCAGGTTTGGAATTCCCTTGGGGGCCTAAACCCTTCAGGGAAGTCATTGCAGGGCCCTTGCTTAGAAATAATGGGCAGTCCCTGGAGAGCAGCAGCCTGGAGGGGTCTCACGTGGGAGTCTATTTCTCTGCACACTGGGTGAGTGTTTGGTCCCTCTTTAGTCCAGACAGAAGGGAGCAGTGATGTCACCACCAAGACCAGCTGGGGTTGGCTTCTGGAGGTGTGACTGCTCAGGTGTCATTTCCCGGCATCCTTGCCTTCTCCTGTGCCCGATGCATTGCTGGCGTGCTGCAAGTGTTTATTGTGATGAATGATATTAGCAGCAAGAAAACGACTTCTTTGCACTGGCCTAAAAGGGTAGTCCTTCCCCCTAAAAAATAAATAAATAAAAAGAGGAGTCCTCCTAACCCATTCTGACGAGGCTCCTCCTGGGCCCCGGGGGAGCTCGTTTTAACTGCTGCCTGCTGGCATCCAAGTGGATGGGGCAGGGCCTGTGCTGGATACGCGCCATCATGAGAGGCACGTTTGTTTCTGCCTCTTCCATAAACTGGAACCGCGATCCGAATCCTGCTTGGGTGTTGCTGACCTGGCCTCTATGGGCAGGTGGCTGGGAATTGGGAAGGAGAAGGTGCTACGTGAGGCTGCAGGATCCCACTCATGTCTTCCAGTGTCCACCCTGCCGAAGCCTCACCCGGGTCCTGGTGGAATCCTACCGGAAGATCAAGGAGGCGGGCCAGAAATTCGAGATCATCTTTGTTAGTGCAGACAGGTAACGTGTGCTGGGGAGAGTGGCGGTGCATCTCCCCTTTTCTCTAGGTGGATGTCTCTTGCCATACACATCTCGCCTCTTTAGCTTAGAGCTTGGGGGATAGGGATCAGGGAAGACATATCTGGGATGATTATCGCAGGGACAGATACATTTCATATTTACTCACGTAATTGTCTGAAGGGGAGCCAAGAAAAACCCATCCTTGCTGTCATTATTAAGGGACATCCCAATTCTGGCCTGGGGCATTTGAGATTAGCATGCATTTTTTTCTGATTAGTTCAGCTTTGTGGATGGTGGTGAGAGGATGTGGAGGGGGGAGGATGGAAAGAAAAGAGCCGGAGAATAATGGAATGTGGCATCTATCCTAGCCGGCTCTGCAGTCATTTCTCTTAGCTCTGGCCACGTGCTTTTTCTAGGGGCTCTCCTCAAAACAAGAAAAGACATTCTTCCTGGAGTACATCAGGGCCTTTTAGCCTCAGTCTCCTCTGTTTCTTGCCCTCTTGCCGGCTTTACTCATCAGTGACCTTCCTTCATCTCAAAACTCCAGCCCCAGTTCAGACCGAGCCACCAGGTGTTCTGTTCACAGAAGGGTCTCTGAGATGGCAACACATGGAGGGCCTTGTGTCCACTGTCGTACCCTTGATGTCTGCATGGTGCTGTCCTCAGTTTATTGGCCCGTGGGCCCTGCCCCACTACACCGTGCCCCCCCCACCCCCACATGGAGTGGGGCAAGCCTGAAGGCATGCCACAGGGAGGAGTCACTTTGTTAAAGCCTTAAAAAATATCAACTTGGGAATTCCCTGGAGTGGAGGTCCAGTGGTTAGGACTCCGCGCTTTCACTACGGAGGGTGCAGGTTTGATCCCTGGTCAGGGAACCAAGATCTTGCAAGCCTCGTGGTGCAGGCAAAATAAATAAGTAAATAATAAAAAACGTCAGCTTTATTGAAGTACAATTTACATACAGTGAAATTCATACACTCTGGATGTCCAGTTCAATGTATTTTCACTAATGTATGTACCTGTGTGACCAGCACAGTGAAGGTGTAGAACATTCCCGTCAATTAAAAGAATCCCTCGTGCCTCTTCTCAGTTAATCCTCACCCCCAAATCCCAGCCCCACAGATCCCCGGATCTGCTTTCTATCACTTGATTAGATTTATCACTCCTAGAGTTTCTTAGACATGGAGTCGTAGGTATATGCTTGGTTAAGTGTCCTGTACGCATCACTGTTATGTGCACAGATTACAAACATTGCGGGGAATGTGGTATCTGAACATGTAGACTCCTCATAAAAGTAAGACCTGTCAGTGTTGGAAAAGGAGAAGTTAAGGGTGAGCTGAATGTGTAGGGTGCAGAGAAGCAGGATGTTGAAGTGGCCTGGCATTTCAGTTTGGCGTCCACCTGTTGTGTGGAGCTTTGCTTTGGGGTGTGCACTGGAATGGGTAGGACAGTGTTCTCCTCTGGCCTGGTGTCCGAGGAGCACGATCATTAGAAGCCCCGGCATCTGTAGAGCCCTGGGCACGACTTGGTGGAAGGTGGGGAGGACCCAATGGTGGTGCCTTGGGGGTAATAGGGCTTTGTCTCCCTGTGTGTCTCTAGGTCAGAGGACTCATTCAACCAGTACTTCAGTGAGATGTCGTTGCATGCAGTTCCCTACCCCGACGAGGCCCGGCGGTCGCGCCTCAACCGGCTGTATGGAATCCAAGGTAGGCCTGCCCAACTCATGGGCTCCTTGGAATCCTGCTCGCTCGTCTGGGCTCACCACCTCTTTGGCTTTCCTTCTAGAGGGAAAAGAACATCTTTATTTCCATGAATGTTCACATTCTTTAGCATCTTAAAAAGATGCGGTGGATTTTCAGGTATGTAGATTATCCCTCATTAAAGCCTTTTTTTTTTTTTTTTTTTTGAAAATGCTTGTCCCAGTGGGACAGCTACGTCTCACCACCCGGCCTAGTGGGTTCTAATGTGGTTGGGCTGTGGAGAGCACCTGCCCAATGACTCAGCCAAAACCCTATCCCAAGGTGCTTTCTGTCAAACAGACCTGAGGGTGACCTTTGGTTCTGTTACTCAAGCTCCTTGAGTCTCGGTTTCCTTATCTGTAAACTGTGCATGATGTATCTGCCACAAAGAATCGCTGGGAGCGTTAATAGGATAATGCAAATCCCATACTCCGCACGTTCCTGAAGTGTCATAGTGACGGCTGCGGGGGTATTGCCTTTTAGGCAAGAAAATTGATTTCCTGAGAGTGTTGAAAACTTGGACTTGAAATACTAATCATGGTGTTTTTCAGAAATAATGATTACTAGTGAGACAATCTGTGTTTTTATTCTTTATTATGTGAATACCTCCTTCCCAGCCTTCACCCAGCCAGGTTTATTCTTGGTGGCCTATTAAGAGTTAAATTCATTCTCTTTGTATCAGTGGTACTAGGGTCAACCCTAGACAGATAACAGCTAATATTTGAGTTCTCAGTGTCTTGGTTTATAGGAAGTGGAAAAAAAAAAGACAAATCAAGATCTACCCACCAACTCCACAGCTTGTGGGGGAACTCATCAGATTCTTTAACCTTTTTTCTTCACCATTTAGAGTAAGCATTTGGCTTTGTTAGGAGCTAGTTTCAAAAAATTAATATTTCATTTAAAATTGGTGATTCTCAATTTCAAATGTGCATAAGAATTCCCTGGGGATCTTGCGAAAATGCAGATTCGAATTCAGTGGTTCTGGGGTGTGGCTGAGATCCTGCATTTCTAGCAAAAGCCCCCAAGCGATGCCACTGCTGCTGGTCCAGGGACCACACTTTGGGCATTAAGTCTAGGTCTATTAATCCTTTGAGAATTTTGGAGCCTTACGCCTCCTACTAATAAAAAAGATGAAAGCAGTTTTCTTTCCAAGCAGAAGTGGAGAGACATGACATGGTTTACCGGTCCAGAAGGACGGGTACCAAGTTGGTTAATTTAAAGGAGATGGCCCAGGAGTATTTCCTTCCAGCACTCTGCTTGCAGAGAGCCTTAAAGCATGTGTGCCTTGGGGTAGGAGCAGTATTGCTTGAGAAAAGTGATGATCCTAGGCCAGTCATACTAAACAAGGGTTGAATTGCCACTTGGTGGGGATAAGTAAAACTTCATGTCTCTCAATTCACTTATTCATTCATTCAACAAGTATTTGCTGAGGGTTTACCCCCCTACTGCTGACTGCCCTTGAGCAAGTTACTTAACCTAACTTTTTTCAGTAAAATTGGGTAGTTTCACTGTTGGATACAGAGTAGGCACTTAATATATAACTGACTGACTTAGGGGAAAAAAGGGAAATATTTGATTTTACAACCTAAAAAAGATAAACTTTTGGATGTCAAAAAGCTTACTAACAGAAAGGCAACTAACAGTATTAATAACACATGTGGCAAAGAATCTATATCCTTCATAGAAAAAGAGCTCTTTCCAGATACCAGTCCAAAAAGAGAGATAGACAGACAATTTAGTTGAAAATATGTACAAGATATGAGGTGGGGGGCTTCCCTGGTGGCGCAGTGGTTGAGAGTCCGCCTGCCGACGCAGGGGACGCGGTTTCGTGCCCTGGTCCGGGGGGGATCCCACATGCCGCGGAGCGGCTGGGCCCGTGAGCCATGACCACTGAGCCTGCGCGTCCGGAGCCTGTGCTCTGCAACAGGAGAGGCCACAGCAGTGAGAGGCCCACGTACCAGATAAAAAAAAAAAAAAGATATGAGGTGGGCAATTCACCTGATGCATATTGTCAGAATGGATAAGAAAAATATTCAGAATAATTTTCATTCATGATTTACAGATTAAAACACTGAATTTGTGTCTATCACATTTGCAAAGAACTCTACTTGCCAAAAAAAGATAATCCCCAGTATAGGAAAGAGAGCAGGCTGCTAGTGGGAATCTAAATCAGGACATTTCAAGGAGAGAAATTGGCAATGTACACCAGAGGCCTTAAAAATCTATAAAACCTTTAATTTCAGAATCCCACTTGTAGGAATTTATGTTCAGGAAATTACCCTCTAGCACCCAGCAAAAACTGAACTTCTTTTGCAGTTGGAGGTGCATTTTTGTTTATTGTTTTTTCTTTCATCTTTCGTATACTTTGGATTTCATCACAGACCACAGTTCTTTCCTTGCTTTAGCCCCTAGAAAACTCAGAGCTGAATTTGTAGCCACCTTTAGCAGTTTTACAAAGCTGACCATTTCTCTGCGTGCCCTTGACCCTAGCTTGGTTTTCTTTTCCTTCCTTGTTTTCCTTTCAGTGGGATGTTTTCATCAATTTTTTATTGGATTATATCATGCACTTTTTAAGCAGCCTCAAATCCTTTTTGGAAAAAAGCTGGAGTAGATTTAAATGCATAGGATTCTATTTCTTGAGCTCCAACTAACCACCGATACTGTACACTGAGCTTGGTGGGGAATAAGAAACCAGAAGAGTGTCCTAGTGCTGCCCTTGAGTGGGCAAGATGGGATTTACATTGGGAAATAACTACAGTAGGATGATATCTTCTGAAGAACTAAAAAGTGTTGGTCAAATAGGTGTCACTTTGTACAAGGGCTCAGAAGACTGAACTTGTCCCAGAGAGCAGAGCGGGTGCTGGGCTTCACTTGGCCACTCTGCTCAGTCAGGCAGGCTCTCTATATGGAGGCATCTTCTTTCCAAACACACGTCCTCAGTGAAGCACAGCCTTTTCCTCTCTGAGGAAGGGAGTTGCCCTTTCTTGGGGGTGGAGGCCAGTGAGGTGCAGGTCATATTCTAGTGGTCGATGCTAAGGCCCTGAGGTCACCTGAAAGTAATAAATTACCAAAGGACAGTCTATATCATGCATAGCCAGTTTGAGGGTGGGGGTTTCTACCCTCCCTGTGCTCTGTGAGATGCTTCTTGGGGCCCTTGTTGGCGGGGTAGGCACAGAATAGCAATCTCCTAAGGAGAAATCACAAACCCTGCAAGATTCCACACAAGTTTTGGGCACACAGCTGAGGCTAGAAGGTACCCTTCTGTCAGACATTGGCAGGGCACGAAAAAATTAAATTGATCGTGGGACTTCCCTGGCGGTCCAGTGGTTAAGACTCCGTGCTTCCACTTCAGGCGGTGTGGGTTCTATCCCTGGTCGGGGAACTTAAGATCCCGCATGCTGCGTGGTGTGGCCAAAAAAACAAAAAAGGGAAAAAAATTAAACTGATTGTTTTCTGTCTGCCTTCAGAGAGCAGAGAAGGGAACTCTCCTTTTGGATTCTCCAGCTATCGACATGTAAATATTACGGCAGTAGGAGCCCTGGTTGCTAGGTGTGGCCCAGACAGCCAGGATGCGGGTGACCACAAATGAGCAGGAAGAGAATGGAGAGTTTTCAGAGATGCATTCATTTGGCTCAGTCTCTTAAGGCCTGGCAGTGTGAGGATGAGTACATATGTGGTTCCCAGACTTCAAGGAGCCCTCAGCTGAGAATCAGAAAGCTGATCTGGAGAGGCCCTGTGCCCAGGCAAGCAGCGGCCGGGCAGCCATACAAAAGAACCCAGCTCTGGCCAGCAAGTGTCCTCTGCAGCCCAGCCCTGCACCTGGCCTGTCCCGCTGCTCCTTGTCTGCTGGCTCCACAGTGTACAGTCCCTGCCATCTGTACTAGTCCCTCCTCAGCTTGGACCAGCCTGCTTTCCCAGCTCTCTACCTCCTGCTTCCTCACTCTTGGGTTCTTTCCCTGGCACAGTGTTTTCTGCCAACTGCTCACTTGATCACTGACCACTTTGGCTAAGCCTTAGGAGTCATTCCTGCAAGCAGCCTGTCAGACATTGCTGGCTGGCCCTGTGAAGCCAGAGATGCACTAAAGCACGGTGAATCGAGAGTGTGGAAGAGCCACACAGGATCCTTTTCAAGGCAGCATTTAATGAAGGGCAGACAGTGGAATAGTCTGAATTCACACGAGACTCTGGCTTGGAGCTCTTGAGCCCAGAAGGCTTCCTGGAGGAGGTGACTGTAGAGCAGAGCCTTACAGAATGTATGGGATTTAGGTAGAGGGTTTGAGACATTCCAGGACAAAGGCCAGAGTAGGATGTCCATGGTGTACTATAGGGCAGACTGGGTAATAAGGCTGGTGATGCCACATCACAGAAGGCCTTGAGCACCAGGCTGTGGTCCTTGAACTTGGTGCTTTGGGTTTTGGAGCTTTTTGAAAAATATGGTTAAGGGGAGATCAGTGCAGTAGTGACATGTAAGCTAGACTGGAAGAGAAATCCCAGAGGCATGTTATCCTCTGATATTTCTGATGCACTCACTGAGCTCCCACTGTAGCCAGACCTCAGGCTGTGGCTCACGACAGGCCTACCTTTGGGGAGAGAGAGGGAGGCTGCTCCCTTGGGCTCTAGGGCAGGTGGCCCAGGCAGCCTCTGCCTCCTTCCAGCCTCACAGGGTACTTCAGCTTCATGGCATTTTTTGGGTTCCCCGGTGCATTAGTTGTTAGTAAGTTCTTTGGCAGCATTTTCCATTGATCTTACCAGTCAGCATCCCACTGCATTTGACTACCAAAATATAAGGTAGAGAAAATCCACAGCCTGTTCTAGGGGGCGGGGTTGCTGAGAAGACGCCTTTGCAGCCTTGCACAGGCCGGACCGGGAGCAGAGTGATGGGGATGTGGAAGGGGCTGGCTGGGCACCCGAGGTCCCGGGGCCGTCACTTTCCTCCCTGTCGGCATCTCCCATGGCCCAGACTCCTC